GATCGAGATCCAGGTCGACGCTCAACCTCACCACCGCGTTCATCGGGAAGGTACCAAGGGCAAGAACCACCAGCTGGTGGATTGGGACGCGTTTCGCAAAGTCCGGAAAGAGCAGAATCGTGGCAGTGCGGCTATTGAGGATATAGATAGCTGGACTGCGACGCTCAAGGGGGATTTAGAAATGGCGACGCGGGAGGTTCCGCCAGAAGCACAGCTTGAAGTGGTAGACAGCAAACTCCTACACATGTGGGAAGCCAAGCGCAGCCTGCAAGACAGGTGGAAGTGTTAACGCCACAATCGAACGCTGCGCAGACGCGTAGCACGGCTAAGCAGGAACATGGAAGAGCACGCGTTACAGGTATGCAAAACGCAATGGGAAGAGATCTGCAATGGGATGGAGAACCAGCTGGGACGGGTCAAGACGTGGCATCTCCTCCGGCACCTCTTGGATCCAGAGGAGACAAAAACATCGCACGCACATAAGCTTAACAAGTTGCTGCACGACTACAAAGGCACCCACGCGGACATTCTAGATGACGTGCGAAGCCGTTACTTTCAGTCACGTAGCCCCCTCGCGCACTCGGAATACGCCTGGGAGGGTGAGGGTAACGCGGAGCTAGACGAGGACTTCAGCGTTGCAGAGGTGAGGGCGGTGCTGCACAGGCTCAACACAAAGTCGGTGCCTGGCCCGGACGGGATAACCAACAAAGCGCTACGTAACTTGGACTACGAGTCGATAGAACAACTGAAGGCTTACACGAACGAGTGCTGGTATGCGGGCGCTATACCGAACTCGTGGAAAACGGCGCGCATAATTATGATCCCCAAACCGGGCAAACTAGTACAGATTGACAACCTTCGACCGATATCCCTGACATCCGGCGTTGGTAAGGTCATGGAACATGTTGTTCTCGCTCGCCTTACCAACTACCTTGAGGACCGAAACATGCTACCACACACGATGCTGGGGTTCCGTCGTAACCTTTCCACGCAGGACGTTATGCTTCAACTCAAGCACGATATCGTAGACAATCCCACACGATCCACCAAAGCGATACTCGGGCTTGACCTCAAAAAGGCGTTCGACAACGTTAGCCATGCTGCGATACTTGAAAGCATACGAGCATTGGGACTGGGCGAGAGAACGTAACACTAAGTACGGGATTTTTTTACGGGCCACCGGGCCCGATTAGCGATCGGCGGACTAGAATCGCAGGACATATACATGGGTTGTACGGGCACGCCGCAGGGCTCCGTAATCTCGCCCATGCTCTTTAACCTCGTGCTTGTCGGATTACCACGAAAACTTGCTGAGATAGAAGGCCTCCACCATAGCTTGTACGCCGATGATATCACCCTCTGGGTTGCCGAGGGAAATGACGGCCACGTAGAGCAAACGCTGCAGGAAGCCGTCGACGTGGTGCAGGACTACCTTCGCGACACTGGCCTCGAATGTTCCGCCGCTAAATCGGAGCTCCTGCTTTATAGACCCTCGCGCAGGGGCCGTAAACTCAAGAACGCCGATTCCGCATTCGAGTGCGCATATAGAAAAATTAATGTACGCACATCAGATGGCGCTGTCATCCCACAAGTTAACACCATTAGGGTACTGGGCTTGCGCCTGTCCGCCAACGGCCACAACGGCGAAACCGTTCGCAGACTAGAGGGCGCGGTCAATGAAACAATCCGGTTGCTGAAACGAATAACAAATCGGCATAGCGGAATGAAGGAAAGCAATACCATTCGCCTGGTACATGCTTTCGCTATGAACCATATAACGTACGTCACCTCCTACGTCAAGTGGCAGGCGACTGAACGCACCAAACTAGATTGTCTCATCCGCAAGGCGTATAAACGCGCAATCGGATTACCGGCCAATACCAGCACGGAAAAATTTCTCGAGCTGGGGTTGCACAATACTCTAGATGAGATAATCGAAGCACACAACATCACCCAGTACGAACGTCTGGCAAAGGCCAGAACTGGTCGACACATCCTCGAGACACTGGGTATCAACTACCATACGCAGCGCGGCGAAAAGGTCGGGATACCCAGACGTATTCACGAGCGCATCGTCGTTATGCCGTTGCCTAAGAACATGCATCACATCGGCATCGGCCCGACGCATCACATCGGTCGGCGCAACAGGCCCGCCCAAGACCTTGAAAAGAAATTCGGCAATAGCAAAGACACAGTTCACGTGGATGCGGCCCGTTACGACTGCCACCGCGGCTTCGCGGTCGCGATCACGGATCATGTAGGAACTTGCGTCACGAGTGCAACGATAGGCACGGAAGAGACGGAGGCGGCCGAAGAAGCTGCCATAGCACTCGCGATAGCCACCACGGACGCCGAGGTGATAATAGGCGACTCGCAGGCGGCGATACGCAACTACGCCAGCGGCCGGATCTCCCGCGAAGCGGCCCGCATTCTCCAAATTCACGAACGCAACATCTGCCGCGAAAACGACAGTTTCCTCGTATGGACCCCCGCCCACACGGACCCTCCGCTTGCGGGCAACGCGACTGCCCACGCCGCGGCTCGAGGACTTACACGCCGACCTGCGACGCTTGCCGACAGTCCCGATGTTTCGCACACTTCGACAGTGATGCGGGAATGGACGTGGGGGGATCGCATGGCTACTTTCAGAGACATCACGCAACACTACAGACTGAACAGATGCAAATATCCACCACCCCACGTCAAACTGAACAAGAAACAGCAGGTTTCCTGGAGACAACTACAGACAAACACGTACCCGAATCCGGTGATCCTTCGCCTCTGCTACCCAGGCATTTATACGTCCGACGCGTGTAAGGCGTGCGGAGCCAGAGCGACGCTGCAGCACATGCTGTGGAAGTGTACCGGTAACGCGCAGCAGTCCCCTACGAACCCGGTAGACATGGCAGTCTCGAACCGCGAGGCGCGATGGGAGGCGGCTCTGCTCAGCCATGACCTTGTCGATCAATTATGGGCAGTCCGGCAAGCCCAGGATGCCGCCCGGGTGCAAGGACTCGAGGCCGTCACCTAGGCCGGGGTGCTTGTAGCCCCACCCCGCTCAATGACGCCGGACATATTCAATAAAGTTTTTACTCACTCACTCTGTCCATCCATGCGTCCGTGTGTGTGACCATCCGGGCGTCTGTTCGCGCGTCCACATGGCCATCCGTGCGCCCGTCCCTGCGTTCATCCATGCGTCCGCCCCTGGGTCCGTTCATCCGCCCATCCGTCTGTGCAGCCATCCGTGCATCCGTTCATGCATTTGTCTGTGTGTCCGTTCGTCCATCTAGTCAACACTGCAACTACCACCATCTCGCATCTTTTCATCATATATTCCGTATATGGAAGCACCGCCATTCAGCGGACATTCCAAGGACTAAACGAGAGGTGGCACACGCACACTTTCTTACGGCTTGCGCTTCGTGTCTACTTCCCACCTTTAACCACCTCGAATTCATGGTATATACTAGTTCACTGATGGCACTGCGGACCCAACGCTCGCTAAACCTTTCTACAACCAAGGAGGTTACGCCCAGCGAGTATAACGTAGCAACCCTTTCTTGTGAGATAGTGCTCAATGTACATGCCATTGGCTGCTAATGGGGAATGAGAGACAGGAGAATTCGGCTTTTAGTTCACGCGCACGCTGCGAATTTTTTAATGTTGAACAACGCGCAGGAGAAATCTCCCACCGGCACCACCTTGCAGGTCAAAGTGTAAGACCTGTTACGCACTACTACGAGGTACGAATAGGCACCGCTTTAAGGAGCTCCGCCCTTAAAAAAATCACAGCGTAATCACGGAGTGAATGATGATGAGTAAGGCGAAGCTTCGGAGGGTTTTTTCGGTAAGCCGTGAATCGTCCGCCCACTGGCTGCGTCCTTCTGTCTGTCTGTCTGTCTGTCTGTCTGCCCATCCGTCCGTCCACCCGTCCATCTATTTAGTGAACACTCCGATTACCGCCATCTCACATCTTTTCATTATGTATTCACTCTATACAAGTACCGCCATCTAGGGGACATTCGAAGGACTAAACAAGAAATGGCTACCTACTACTACTACATACATCGAGGACGTGCGACCAATGGTTCAAGGAGCTTCGCCCCTAAAAGGCTGTAACGATTCAGAGTACTTGGTACTCTACTATGGAAAAGCAGAAAGCCGTCCCAGTCAATAAATATCAGTAGACATATGGCACATAGATTGTGTTTGTTTGAAAAAAGTGTTTAACGAGTTGGAGCACTTGGTACTCAACTACGAGAGGGCATAAAGCGGTCCCAATATGTAGAGTTCGTGTAGAGGCAGCTTGATTGCGAAAACTGGCGGCTCGTGCTGGATACCCTTTCACCGGCCGCTCCATATATAGATGCACAGGATCCTGACCTTCAAGGAAGTGCTAGTGGGGGATTTTTCCGGTGCGCTCTTGAACGACAAAAATTTGCACCGTGCATGGTAACTAAACGCGGACTGAAAGCCTGCAGACTCTGATTGGACACTCATGGCTGTTCAATGGGAGCCTGCTGGCTCACATTGCCCATCAGCAGGGTTTGGCATGCTCTAGTAGGAAGCACTGGTCCATCAGTGCACTTCCCCAGGTTTCTCTCTTGCGAACGCCACGACGAGCGCATGCGTCAACGCTGTCTCAATTGTAACCGTTAGGGCCCGTTGCTTCGCATCTACACATGGTTCCTTTTAGTGGGGGATACTGTATTTCTTTAAATGTAAAACCGTGTGCCTCGGTGTACAAAATAGTTGCTTCCAAGATATGTTTACTACTCGGTGCCACTTTCTTCTAACAATTATCTAATATTGGTATGATATAGCAGATGTCAGCGCACAAATAACGTGGTGAATACGTCTTGGTGTTGAATATATCGAGCTTTAAACATATTGGATTTTCAATAACATATTTAGTCATTTTATCACAACACCAGTAGAGCACCAGGAGGGTGTAAGAAGCTTGCCTTACGACATGGGTGTTTTCTTCTATTGGTTTTCAGGTTTGCCAGCCATCATCACCGCCATCTGGGCGACGACGAAATCCTACCTCAGTTCAAGGCAGCACAGTGATCTCACCATCTCTGATAGCGTGTATGCACTGTCCATTACACTTACAAAAACTCATAGCATCCAGTTTGCATTCGCTAATGACTAATTGAAGGCGAAAACTATTTTCTTGTTTTTTCTGAGTCCGATTTATTACAATTGCTTTATCCACCTAAAGCACGGCCTTGAGGATCAGAAGCGTGGCAGGATTTATCTGCATCACACAGTTTGGCACTGCCCCCGGGATTCGCAAACCTTTTATCAATCGACTATGTCACATGATGTGGTATTCATATGACGCAAAGTTATTTAGCATCATAGTGACGTCATAATATGCCGCTAAAGAGGCATCGGCAGTCATAATTATTTGTGTCGTCATCATTTGATGATAACTTTTTGCATCACTCATGTTGACGCCATCGATGCAGACGCCGACGGTAAAATTTTGTTGTTGATGAGGCATCTTAATCTTTCGCCTCTAATAATGCTACAGGAAAAAATATTTCAAATCGTTCTAGATCTATGTTTTATAGCTGCTCTAATGAGTCATTTTTTACCTGTTTTCCTTGATGCCTCACCATAAATGCAAATGGTAGGTTTAAAAGGTTTCAACGACATATTTGTTCGCTTACTGACTTTTCTCACACTTTCTCTTGCTCTGAAAGCTGTGGGTATCCTTCATACTTGAAATATGCGTAAAGCAATGCATATATTTTAACGAAAAGTGGTCCTATATTTCTACGAGGATACGTTCATCAAAATACAAAATCAACACCTAATAAAGGGTGTTAAAGCCGATATGGCTTTTATGATACGCAGAAAAGTGGCACTCAGATGGAAGCTTAATGGTGTCGTTTAAGGGGGGCTTTGGAGACTGGGACTTCAAAGGTAGGATGCAAATAAGCAACTCAGCGATTCAATCATACTAGATTAGATGGAGGTAGTAGAAGGGGAGGCAAAAAAAATATTGCTTTCAATGCATACTGCATACCCTACAAGGTTCCACGACACTGTTCGTATGTACTCGAAAGAAAAGGAATGCCTATCTCCGCACAAAGCCCAATAATATTTCTATTTCATCTCTAGACTTGATAAGCAGTACTGACGTTGTACTTAACTTTCCTGTTTCCTCAATTTTCCTGCAGCCAACTTCACTGTTTTTAGAGCAGATATTATGCATACATGGAAATGCGCATTTATACGCTTGACTATGTGGCTTAGGCTGCGCATCGGGAAGATGCTTCTTTTCAGGGGAAAGCTGATGCTGTGTGCATACTGCCAGATAGACAAGTGCAATAAAGACACGTATTTTTTTTTTGCTAAAGGACAGAAAGGCAAAGAACAGAAAGTTTTTAGTGCGAAGAATCCACTGCCAACCGGCAGCTATAACTACGTATTTGTTCGTTACATCTTTTGTTCTGACTTTGTAACAATATCTCTCGCTCATGTATTGGTTATTAAATGAGTAGTTTATGATAAGCATGTTATGAAAACGCGTATAGCTACAATAGTCTTGAATCTCATTATATATTGCGTAACTATATTTTATATAAAATATTTTACAGCATACATTTTAACTCATACTACCCTGTAAGACTTTCGTACTTAAGAGGCAGGTCTTAATTCGTAGGCGTAGACTGCTTGAAACATTCACGAGACACATAAAAGGGAAATTCTGGTTGCGTGACCATGCATTTATGAAAGAGTGAACAGCATTTAAACCAAGCAATGACTACACAGTTTTCTAGTGTCATGGTGATCAAAAGTATGAGCCTGGAGGTATGAAGCTATGTTTACACTTTAAAGCTTAACATGCGCTTAGTTTTTTTTTTCATTTAAAAGAAACAACTGCACTATAAATTTTGGAAATCAAACAAATCACATAGGTGCCCATCAGCTCGAAATATTCTTCGTAATGTTCGTCAAGTGCGTATAAGATAAAATATATTATTTGTTCTAAACGTGAACAACACTTTTCTTCCAAATATAAAACAAACGGTGAAGGCGTCATGAAACAAATCATAGCTGCGGCAACTGCATCTGTGTAGAGCTTCAAAGGAAGAATTGCGCTAGTGCGCTCTCTGCATAAATCATTATAAGATGCCGTAATTTATTTGGCTCCACTGCTTAGACTTACCATGGAAAATGTGAGATATATCTGAATTCACAACGTCCCATAAACTGCATGCCCCTTCAGTCAGTTAAAATTATTAATTCACTAAAGTGAAAATCCCCAGGTATGTCGTAGCAAACAGAAATATTTATAATCTACCACTATAGTACAAAGTTTACCATTTGAATTCTATCCGGTTTTCTTTTTCCCGGTCTTTTCAGGTGCGTGTGGCAGATGAGAGATCTGTATGACTGCATCTTCATCGTTCCAGTGATTGGCGTTCTTTTGGTAATGCATCCTGGCGATTGCTGGCTTCCTAATATTTTTATCTAACACACTCAGCACGTCAATACACGACAACTAAATGAAGACATCGCATAAGAGATGGGCTCAGCAAAAATAGTTACATAGGTGATGAGTGTTATTACTTGGCATAGAGTGAGTTCTGTGTCGGCATATAGTTGTTGTTAATGTTTCATTATATCTGATGTCGCTAATTAGATGTCCCCTTAGTAACTGGACAATAACAAGTGTATTTTCATAATGACGCCATGTTGTAACGTGCCCTGTAACAAATTGATGTCCCCCAATCGAATAAAAGTCGTTTAATAAGAGTCGTGAAAGTAGGTCAATAAAATACCCTGTGAAAATTGTTCGCTCATGAGAACGTTAAAAAAATTTCGACGTTTCAAAAAACTCCTATCAGTGAAAACACTTTGACATAAGTTCCGGAAGTGTTTCGTGGCGGCAGCTTCAGTTTATATTTTCTCAGCAGCTAAAGTGGAGACAAATGCAAATTTAGTTTTCTTTATTGAAGGGCTGAGCGTCTTCAATCAATGAGTCTTTACGCTTCGCACGGAAAGAAAGACGGCAGATTTTACCCTCACTTCATTTTTGTTGTTTCTGTGGAATAAAATTACCTTGCGCTATCAAGCAACGCATTATCCTTTTCTGTGTTATTTTAATTATTTACAGACGAACATGTTTTTCCTCGCCGAGATTATGTGGGTGCTCATCACGAAGCTCCGAGCTGCGAACACAGTCGAGTCTCGTCAATACAGGTCAGTGTTTTATTATAATAAATATATATTGGGAGCACTTCTGGCAGACATACCTAATGGCATGCACTCTCTGTGTGCAAAAAAAAAAAGAGGTCAAGCATTCTTATAACGACAAAATTTTTCTGCTAGCAGATTTTCTAATATATTGGAAAGTCGAACACAGACGAACTCACCTATCACGATTTTAAACATTGTTAACAGCGTTCTTTCTGCACATTTTTTATAAATCTACTCAAAAATAAGACAGAACTTGCGCATAAACTGCTTCCATAGCATTCTTAGCTATTCAGGGAACTGAAATGCTCCTGGAGGACACTAGTGGCACATTATGTTGGTTGCTACCACACTCTGGCTCTGGCTGATACAATGGGGGGGGGGGGGGGCGCTTCTCATTCAACACAAAGAGCTCAGGTTCGGCTCGAGCTTATAGCCGCTCACCAGAACAACCTGACGAGGGAAACGAAAGAATATTGCGTTCCCCGTGGGAAATAAACACCTAACAAGCCAATTGCGCAGACACCCTTTGTGCGTGCTACCGTGGCTGATGCAACGCGATCTTGTGAAGCACAAGAAGCGCATCGTTAAAGAAGCGCAAGAAAGCACTGACGAAGAAGGCACAAGCACACAGAAAAAAGCGCAGAATCGCAACTCGCAAATTTATTCGAAAGAAATATATTGTAAAATGAGGAGATGTAAAGCAAATGTGAAAAAAAAACGTTTGCAGTAATCGAAACTTCACATCGAAGTACAAGTGCCTAGCAAAAAAGCAAACAGCGCACATGTTTGGCTCATTTTGCTTCATCTTGCTGAAGGCTACCGACGCATCAACACTTTCGCAAAAGAGGAAAAGTAGTGATGCAGCGCCTTGCAATGCCTTTTCTAAACTTGCCGGGGTTGAATGAATGTGCTCCAGTGTATGGGAGCTTTTGAGTTTTCTTGAACATCAGGCAGTGAGTGTCAAGTTCTTAAAATTGAAAATAATTTATTCAATAAGCCTTCATTACATCGAGTATGCCTGCGATTTGAGTGCCTGTTTTGTATTGTTGGGTGATTCTAATTCGTATGAGTAGGAATGTTTGCATTTATGTAGGTGATGTTGAATATCAATCGAACAAAATTCGAACCAGCGAAGTCTAATCAGGGACAAATGGCTCCATCAGTGCGAGAGGCTCTCGACAAACGCACCTTGTACGGGTTTCTTTTATGCGGTGATTTATCTGTATATGTGTTGTGTCATGTCAAATACGTCATTTCTTGTGCATCTCCATTTTAAGTCAATATGATTTTTCTGTTTTTAATGTTTTGTAATAAAAATATGCTCGAATTCTCGCCGAGTTCAAGAGAACAGTCTTCTGTTGTCACACTTTCTTGCCGCTAACACTCACTCCTACTGAACCCAAAGCAATATGCACATTCAAAGTCAGGCCTTTCATTCTCGGCACTGCGCAGTGGATGAGCAATCGCGCCTGCACTCATATTTCTATTGATGTCGTATGCTGATATTTAGAATATTGTTACGACCTCAGTAGGCGTCTGGGGGTTTATTGATACACGGTTCGAGGGACGAGCCGTATCGGCGCAGGCAGATGATGATCTTCTTCTTCCACACCCCTTGCTTCTTTTTCCTTCTTCGTCCGGCACATACGTGGCGTAACATTTCCCCCCTCGCAGACAAAGCGCGCCGCGCGTTTCATGCAGTGTCGCGTTGACTGAAAGGCTTCAGGCGAGCGACATGCGTGACCTCTGTCTTTCTGGAACGTCTCCCGCTAGCTGTAAGACGTGCGATGCGGTAGTCGACTGCGCTCAGGCGGTCAAGGATAACAAAAGGTCCGATGTAGTGCGCGAGCAGTTTTTGGCACAAGCCACGTTTGCGTAAAGGCTTCCACACCAACACGAGATCTCCCGGAATATATGTGGCCTGCCGGTGCTTGCTGTCATAACGAACTTTCGATCTGTCTTGCGAGGCTATTGTACGTAAACGAGCAAGACGACGAGCTTCTTCGGCGAGACAAAGAGTTTCTGCTAGGGAGATTTCTGATTGGTCCCGATCAGAGAAGGAAAATATTGTATCCAGAGTATAACGGGGGGGTCGAACATAGAGGAGGAAGAACGGGCTGTAGCCGGTGGTCTCATGTTGGGAAGTATTAAACGCGTATGTGACGAACGGCAAGACATCGTCCCAGTTCTTGTGGTTCGAAGCAACGTACATAGAAAGCATATTCACCAGTGTTCGAATTGTTCGCTCGACGAGACCATTCGTCTGCGGGTGATAAGGCGTCGAGTGTCTGAGCTCTGAGCCACACATACGGAGAAGTTGTTCGACAACGTCTGCCGTGAATTGACGTCCACGGTCACTTATGATGACGCGAGGGGGCCCATGACGCAGTATGATAGAATGGAGAAGGAAGGACGACACTTGACCAGCAGTCGCGGATGGCAGGGCAGCAGTCTCGCAGTACCGAGTAAGATGGTCAGCACATACCACAATCCATCTGTTGCCTTTCGATGAACGCGGAAAAGGGCCCACCAGGTCAATGCCAATTTGTTCGAACGGAGAACTGGGAGGCGTCACAGGTTGTAGATGTCCGGCCGGAGCTGCTGAGAGAGACTTGTGCGCCTGGCATTGCGCACAACTGGCCACGTACAACTCAACTGACTGGCGCATACGTGGCCAGTAGAAGCGTTCCTGGGTACGATGAAGAGTGCGCGTCGTTCCGAGGTGACCTGAAGTGGCGTCATCATGCATGGCGTACAAAACAGATGACCGTAGTGCCTCTGGAACCACCAGCAGGAAGCGGGAACCGGTGCCGGAGATGGATTTCTTGTACAGTAGACCATCACGGACGCAAAAGCGGCTTTCCGGAGTGGATGCTTGTGCGATCACGAATAACGGATTCAAACTCACGTCCTTCCGCTGCTCAGTTTCAAAGGTGGCCTTATCCGGGAACGCTGGTGCTACGGACGCAATCAGATGATCGAAATCGTCAGCGTCGCAAACTGTAGCATCAACTGGCATCCTTGAAAGGCAGTCTGCGTCCGCGTGTTTCCTGCCGCTCTTGTACGATACCGTGAAGTTGTACTCTTGCAGCCGGAGGGCCCAGCGTGCTAGACGGCCTGACGGATCCCGAAGGTTGATAAGCCAGCACAAAGAATGATGATCCGTAACTACTTGGAAAGGACGACCGTATAGGTATGAGCGGAATCGCTGCACAGCGAAGACGAGTGCAAGGCATTCTTGTTCGGTCACAGTGTAATTGCGTTCCGGCTTACTTAAAGTACGACTGGCATATGCGATTACGTGTTCCACTTGATTACATCGCTGTATGAGGACTGCACCTATGCCAATGCCGCTTGCGTCGGTGTGAACTTCAGTCGCCGCAGAAGGATCGAAGTGCCGCAGGATAGGCTGCGACGTGAGCAAGAACTTCAGTTGGTTGAAAGAAGTTTCACAATCAGGAGTCCATTCAAAACTAGCACCTTGGCGGAGAAGACAGGTCAGTGGAAAGGCAACTTCTGCAAAGGCGGGAATAAATCGGCGAAAGTAAGAGCAGAGGCCCAAGAAGCTCCGAAGCTCCTTCACTGAGCCAGGTGGTTTAAAAGCTCTAACAGCCGCCGTCTTATTCGGGTCGGGCCTGATGCCATCCTTGTTGACGAGATGTCCCAGCACCAGTGTTTGTCGAGCTCCGAAATGACACTTCTTTGCATTAAGAACCAAGCCAGCATTTCGAATACATTTCAAAACCAGCTCTACCCTTTCGTTATGTTCACTGAATGTACGCCCGAAGATAACAACGTCGTCAAGATAACACATACAGATGTTCCACTTCAGGCCGCGCAGAATGGTGTCCATGAATCTTTCAAATGTAGCGGGCGCGTTACATAGACCAAAAGGCATCACGTTAAATTCATATAGTCCATCCGGAGTAACGAAAGCCGTCTTTTCTTTGTCCATTGAATGCACAGGTATTTGCCAATAGCCTGAGCGTAAGTCTATGGACGAAAAGTAGGATGCTGAATGGAGGCAGTCTAGAGCGTCATCAATGCGTGGGAGAGGGTAGACATCTCTCTTTGTGACGGAGTTTAGACGGCGATAGTCCACACAGAATCTCCAGGTACCATCCTTCTTTTTGACTAGAATCACGGGAGCCGCCCAAGGACTCGATGATTCTCGAATGACACCCTTCTGCAGCATATCACGCACTTGTTCATCAATTATCTTGCGCTCAGACGGCGACACTCGGTAGGGTTTCTGGCGGATGGGCTGTGCTGTTCCCGTGTTTATCCTGTGGAGAATCCGAGACGCGGGAATCGAGGGCGCATGGTCATGGGAAAAATCGAAAATCGCCACGTATTTCGACAAAACGTCCAGAAGCATGCGGCGTTTGTCAGTAGTAAGTGACTTGTCGATCATAGGTAAAAGTTTTGAATCGGCCGTAGAAGTATTGGCTGAGGCCCCACCTGGAGCATCACTGAGGGCAGCCACTGCCATCGGTGAGTATGTTTTGAACTTGGCAAGCTTCAGTCCTCCTGGTAGAACCACCGACTCAGCTGAACAGTTTACCGCCCATAGTCCTGTGCGTCCTTGAACGAGTGACACTATGCAATGCGGCACCAATGTGTTCTTCTTAATGCAACTGAGATGAAAGGGCTCCACTAATGCGTCGAACGCACTGTCACTGTTTTCAATGCGTGAAGAGTATACAGGAACACAGACTGCAGAGAATGCCGGCACAATGCTATCTTCACTGACCCGGAGCGCACCGTGCTCCCTGTCTGAATTCTCTAATAGTTCTCCAGGGGCAGCATCACATATGTACACCTCTCCATTTCTACAATCAACAGTGGCGCCACACATTCGAAGGAAGTCAATCCCCAGGATTATGTCGTGTGTGCTCCTTGGAAGAATCGTAAACTCTGTGACAAACACTTGATCACCCAAGCACACTTCTGCGGTACAGACACCAATGGGACACAGCGAGTTACCACCAACGCCACAGAAT